CCCCAAAACCCCAAAACCCCAAGTCGCTTGATTATTCTGAATTAAATTGGATCTGCTCAGATAGATTATTCATTTGTAAATTGGTTAATAATTGTAAATCTGTCAAAAATTTTGAGGCCTTTTTCTAAATTTAATAGTTTTATCAATTGCTTTCATGACTCCAAGGACAGTTTCATCCTCCCATAATTGCCCAACTACTTAGATAGTTACTGGCAATCCCACAGTTCCTTTCATATCCTTTTTGATATTCATTGTAATCATATCATTCACTCCATCATCATAAGTCAAATCCTCACCTTCTTGTACTTCTGTTACTGGCACAACTCCTATAGGGTAATGAGTAATGGTGAAAGCAGTTAAATAATCATTGAAGCCACCAACTTCCCCATTATTAACATGTTTAAAAGCGGGAATTGCATGGGTAGGCATAATCAAAGCCTCAATACCTAGACTATTCCACTTTTTATGCATCTTCTCATAGAAGTCTCTTTGTCTTATCATAAGCTAATCTAGCTGATCATCGTTTAAAGGTTTAAAATGCCTCACTTATTCTACAAATCTCTTTTCACCCTTAAACTCTAATATTTTCATGAGCACAAACTTAATAATTGGGTTTAAATTGAAGAAATTGTAGCTCTTAGTAGTGTTAGCAAGAGGTCTCTCGTAATTTTCTATCATCCTCTTATAATTCTTCAAAACAAAAGCATGAGCGATCAATCCAAGATATAATTCCTTAGCTTCCATTAATTCTTCAACGGTGAAAACAAATGGAACTAATTCGAATCCTTTTTATTCAAGAGCTTGTTTGGCAAGTTTAATACCTCTTTGCATTGAAAGACTAGCCTCAATAGTAGGTAGACTAAAACAATATCCCACTCTGATTTTTCCATTCAAAGCTCTATCGAAATTTTCTTATCTAAAAATAGTTGGAGGAGTAAAGTAGTCAATTTTATTGATCTCTGGTCCAATCAAACACTTGAATCCAAGTATTATATCATCAGCAGTCTTTCCTATGGGTCCACAGCAAGTCTTTATTTAAGTGAAGCTAGTGAAGTTGTCTTTCAAGCATCCTACATGGCCAGTTTGCACGATTCTCCAGGCAGTTGGTTTCAAGCAGAAAACTCCGTTGAAATGACTTGGT